CCCCTCGTTGGCAACAGAGTGTCCTGCTAGGACAATGGTTTTGTATTACCTATGAGATCGCAGTGAGGGACCTCGCAAAGGTGATAGAGACAAAATGGAAATGACAGAACTTAACCCATAGCCAATGCATTTATAAATAGTTTCTCTGTGAAATATAGCCTTAAAACTTCAGACTACGCTGGACCAGGACTTCACATCCACTCCCAGCAAATTCTAAATCCAAAGGAAATACGTGGGTAGCGACTCCTTCTGATGCCAGTGTTGAAAATGACAGCTTTCACTGCTGAGCGATTTCCTACGTCAGTGTGATGCTCTGACTGGCTGCATTTCTAAGTTTTTTGCACAAGTTAAAACCCCAAGAGGTCAATGAAAATAATTCAAAGCAGCCATGCTCGGCTTAAAAATGAAGAAGCATAAATCCTATGATTTTGGGACTGTGATGTGATATTTGAAGGAGAGGGATTCGCAGTGGCACCTAAAAAATATACCGATATCCATGTATCTCACTGCAAGCAGTTTGGCTAAATATGTGTCTTGTTCATTCTATTTATAAGTAGAACATGAAGTATAGTTGTGAACCTGCTGAGAAAATTTGAATTCAGGTTTTATTAGTTCCTCAAACTGTAACCCAGCCGGGAAAAGATTTATGTTACGTGTCAGTGTGATTCTCAAACAGGAAAAAAGTTGATCATGATGAAAAAATAAGATGCAAAGATAGCTCACCACCCCTCAAAACCCCAAAGCCCAATTCCCCCACCAAACCCAGAGATTTCCTGACCTCCTTTTTGCACAACCAAATACTATTTAGTGGATAGATATAACAAGTGTGTGTGTGTGTGTGTGTGCATTTTCATGCGTAAATTGTCACTTGCTAAGTAAGCAAGAGTCTATCCTTAGTTTATGTCAGATGAAAAGGTTTTATCCCATACTGAGAGACTGGTTTACTTTTTCACGTGTAATGGGTAGGGACTGAATGTTGCTGATGCTCAGGGACGTGTTGATCCAGTCTAAGGATATATGCAGCATTAATGCTGTACATAGAAAAGTGTATATGTTGTAAACTAGCTGGGCAGTTAGAAAGCACCAGTTTCCTGCTGCAGAGGTTTTGAAAGAGTAGTAGTATCTTCAAATAAAGGCTACAATTAACTGAAAGTCCAGTGAGGGACTTAATGAGACATCAGTGGGCTTTCAGTCAGGCTCGAATGGTGCAAAGAATAGCTCAGGGAGTGTAATGTATAAAATTAGCATAAACCCAGGAAACTACACAATATTAGCTGTCACAAATCACCACAGAGGCGTGGTGCGGGCAGGAGCTGCAGGGCTGCGGCTCCCCATGCATGCTGGCATGGTGCACTACAGCGAAGAGCAGCAATGCCTGTCTCGGCTGCAGCTGAACTCAGTCCTGGTAAAGTTTGCTACCGGTTGCCCTCAGAGCACTGGTACGTTTCATGGAGGCTGAAGTTTTTGAAGGGACAATCGCAACAAAACTCTTCCTGCTAATGCAAACAAAACGAAAATGTTGATTTTGGTTTTCAACGGGTTTTCAAAGATTTACCACTTCTGCTATGAGGAGGCATCTGCATAAACTAGCTATTTGTTGCAGAGCCCAATGCCTAGAAAGCCCCCTGAAGCTTTTAATCTCATACAAATGCTCAAATATTGAGCAATAAGACCTTGCATCTAAATAGCAATTTCTACATAATAACTTGCAAACATATGGCATAAAAATTAATGATGTTATGCTGACAATCCTTGGAAGTCTTCCATTGCACAATGTGGCAAAGAAGACAGAAGTGGTGCAGGTTGTCAGGAGGGGCCCTTGACTTGAAATGAAAGATTTTTGCAGATGCAGTTTTGTGATGCCCATGCCCCCATGCAGCTGGACACAAGGGAGCAATAACTGTGCAGAAACGGGGGACAGGATGGAGCGAAGGCCCCATAGCTCTCGCCTGTTTGGACAC